CTCCGGCCCCAAGAGTAGAAGGGCTAAAGAAAGAATGGACATTCAGTCTAAAGGCTTAACACTGACTACCTGAGCCTTCAACAATTTCTGGTATTAATATTACATAGCACTGCACCCAAGAAATTCACAGATGCTTTTAATGAGTGTTCCTATGTAGATAGCAGTGCCTTTATTTCTAGATTGAATTTCCAGGCATGACTGGAAAACTGAGACCCAGTTTTCAGCCTCCAGGAAAAATGAGTTCCTTTTGCTGTTAGTCCTCATCTGTTTGGTTTTTTTTTTTTTTTTTTTTTTTTTTTTTTTGAGATGGGGTTTCACTCGTCACCCAGGCTGGAGTGCGATCGTGTGTTATTAGCTCACTGCAACCTCTGCCTCCCCAGTTCAAGCGATTCTACTGCCTCAGCTTCCTGAGTAGCTGGGATTACAGGTATGCACCACCATGCCGGGTTAATTTTTGTGTTTTTAGCAGAAACAGGGTTTCACTATGTTGGCCAGGCTAGTCTCGAACTCCTGACCTCAGATGATCGGCCAGCCTAGGCCTCCCAAAGTGCTGGGATTACAGGCATGAGTCACTGTGCCTGGGTTTATTCTTTAAATTAACAAACAAATAGGCCGGGCGCGGTGGCTCACGCCTGTAATCCCAGCACTTTGGGAGGCCGAGGCGGGTGGATCACGAGGTCAAGAGATCGAGACCATCCTGGTCAACATGGTGAAACCCCGTCTCTACTAAAAATACAAAAAAAATTAGCTGGGCATGGTGGTGCGTGCCTGTAATCCCAGCTACTCAGGGGGCTGGGGCAGGAGAATTGCCTGAACCCAGGAGGCGGGGGTTGCGGTGAGCCGAGATTGCGCCATTGCACTCCAGCCTGGGTAACAAGAGCGAAACTCCGTCTCAAAAAAAAAAAAAAAAAAATTAACAAACAAATATAAAAAGTCAGTGACTGTCCCCGGCCTCTCACTGTACAATTTCACTCTCTACACTGTTCCTGTTTCCCCTGTGCTTCCACGTGGGTTTCCTGCTCTGACTATTTCTTTCATATGGTTTCCCTCATACCTCTGAGACTTTTGTGCTATTTCTGGGCTTTATTGCTGCATTGTTACTTGTTTATTCTTTGTTCTACTGCCTGTTCCTTTGGGGGCAGCTGAAAAGGCAAACCTTGGCCCTCATGTTGTTGGTAGAGATTACACTTCATATTTGTAATAATTATTCATGTACGTTTTGAGAGATTTCCCCACCATTTTTAAGATTGAACATTAGAAGTGATTTATTGTCAACCAAAGTCAAATATAATCTGGTTTTCACATGGTTTTGTTATTTCATCTTTCTAAGCAAGGTATAGCTTTATACACTCATGCTTTTTGATAACCAAAATTCAGAAGTATGTATGTGTCTAACAGTTTTTACAAGAATCCTACAAGATCCTTTTAAACTGTCATTAAAAGCAAGGAGAGGTCCAGAGAGCTTTGAGACTGCAGTTTGTCTGAAGCATTTGACTTTCATTCAAATTGGCAGTCTCTTTTCCAAAAAGAGCATTATTCTCTCATCTTTAAAGTATGCTGGGTTTAGTCAGTTTGGATACTAAGCAAGTTATCAGGAGATTTCTTAAACATTAAGAAGAGAAAGCCATGCCATCTTGCTCAACCCAGGGCCACAGCCTCCAGGGGTGTTGGTGAATAATAGTATTGTGTCCCTTCATTTTAATCTATTCCTGCCTGTATTGACAGTCTATAAGGACAACCAGATAAAAAGGGAAAAACTCAAGTAGAGGTACCAAAGTCTTTTGCCTAGATAATCCTAGAGGGAAACAAAGTTTGACTGAAGTGTTTTGCTGTGTGGTAAATATTACTCTCTCCAGAGAACATGATTATAACTTCTCTGCAACCTGGAAAATGTACTCCCTGCCCCGTCTGCCCCGCCCCCACCACCCACTAGGCGGGAATAAAGCAAACTGTCTGGGAAACGGCTTAAATGCAGGCACAAAGTAGGTTCTCAGAAGTGGCTATGAGTTGAACCTGTTTTTATTTGGATCTAAAAATCTCCCAGTTCAGTCTGTTCAGTTATTGAAGGATTGCTATTGTGTTTGCAAAGCATCCCTGACTTTTACATCTTCTTATTGGTTCTTCTTTGGGTATCAAATCCTCACATTTGAAGGAATGTATTTTTTTAAATAAAGCAGGGCACAGCAGCCCTCAGTAGAAAGGAAAATGGTCTTCCAACTGCCTCTAAGCCATTTCCGTGAGAATATCTTGACCCATAAGTGGCTCCCGAATTTCCATATAGGAGAGGCTAGTTGGTAGGATGTTTGAAGCTGTGTTTACATATGATCAGAAAAATGTCACTTGTCCATATCAAAGGAGAGGAAGTTATGGAAGTCCTAAACCTATTAATACGTCCTTTAGCACTGCCCAAAGCCAGACTTCAAATTAAGGACATTAAAAATGGAGCTCGCTGGGAGCGGTGGCTTACATCCATAAACCCAGCACTCTGGGAGGCCAAGGTGAGTGGATCACGAGGTCAGGAGTTCGAAACCAGCCTGACCAACATGGTGAAACCCCCATATCTATGAAAAACACAAAAAATTAGCTGGGCATGGTGCCGCTAGCCTGTAATCCCAGTTACTCGGGAGGCTGAGGCAGAAGAATCACTTCAACCCGGGAGGCAGATGTTGCAGTGAGCTGAGATTATGCCATTGCACTCCAGCCTGGGCGACAGAGCGAGACTGTCTCAGAAAAAAAAAAAATGGAGCTCATATTTTTCTCCTAAAAATCAGCTCCTTGGCCCCCCTTCCCAACATCTTCCCCTATTTAAGGCAGTATTTTCCTCATCAGGTTAGAAACATCTTTGTTCTCCTACTTAGCTTTCTCCTTCCCAATACCCACTTAATCATCAAATTCTATCATTTTTTTCTCCTTTATAATGTCTTGGAAATTCTCCTCCATTCTTTTTTTTTTTTTTTTTTGAAAAGGAGTTTCGCTCTTGTTACCCAGGCTGGAGTGCAATGGCGCGATCTCGGCTCACCGAAACCTCCGCCTCCCGCGTTCAGGCAATTCTCCTGCCCCAGCCTCCTGAGTCGCTGGGATTACAGGCACGTACCACCATGCCCAGCTAATTTTTTTTTGTATTTTTAGTAGAGACGGAGTTTCACCATGTTGACCAGGATGGTCTTGATCTCTTGACCTCGTGATCCACCCACCTCGGCCTCCCACAGTGCTGGGATTACAGGCTTGAGCCACCGTGCCCGGCCTCCTCCATTCTTTATATTCCAGCAAAATTAGAAACAGGTGATGATCCAGCTCTCTAGTCTGGATGAGGAGATTACAAACACACCACTCACAAGTGAAAAAAATTTTATAGGAATTATAAGAATGCCAAAACAGGCCAGGTGTGGTGGCTCACGCCTATAATCCCAGCACTTTGGGAGGTGGAAGTGGGCGTATCACAAGGTCAGGTGTTCGAGACCAGCCTGGCCAATATGGTGAAACCTGTTTCTACCAAAAATACAAAAATTAGCCAGGCATGGTGGCAGGCGACTGTTGTCCCAGCTACCGGGGAGGCTGAGGCAGGAGAATTTCTTGAACCTGGGAGGCAGAGGTTGCAGTGAGCTGAGATTGTGCCACTGCACTCCAACCTGAGCAACACAGCCAGAATCCGTCTCAAAAACAAAAACAATGCAAAATAACAGCTTCGAACAAGGCTTGTATACACATCTCCAGGTGATGGCTGGCACTGCATTTGTCCTGTAGCAATCTAGAGCAGTGAGGGTCTTTCTGCTGTTCAGGAGCTGTGGTGAGGCCTTTCGGGTCCAGCTTAAGCCATTCTGATTCCAGCTACCACCCCATCTTACATCGGGAAGCGGTTCCCTTCTAGATCAACTCATCTCCACCCACAGCACAGTGCTTATGGATTCGGTCTAAACTAGTTAGCACAATTTATCAAGAGTATTCCACCGTAATTTTAAAATGTGATGTTTATATTTTACCTCCACCTGGACAGAAGCTCATTCTTTTGTATTCTTACTGCCCCTCCCCCTCCCCCTTCCCATAGCAACCAGCACAGGATTCCGCCGTGTGTAGTCTATAAATAAATGTTAAATCATAGAGCCTTAGAATTTTGGAGTCAGACGGAGATCTTCAGCGTTGCATTTGTCCAGTCCTTTATAGATGGGGAAACAGGTCTAGGGAGATTAGGTGACTTGCTCAAAGCCACACAGCTGGCTATTGACAAGGCAAGGAGCAGAGCCAAGGTTTCTCCCGCCTGAAGTCTGTACCCTAAATTGTTCTTAGATAATCAATGACAGAGACACCTGAGTTTTACACAATCTCTCCTGGGGCTGATGGTGATAGGAGAAACTGGCTTTCCTGAAACATGTAAAAAGATTCCGTCCACGCCCCTAGCAGACCTTCAGGAGGACTAACTCCTCAGCTCGGCGTCCAGCAGAGTCCCAAGTTCCGCCCGCACTTGTTTATGCCTCTGTCCTCCGAAAGGACAGAGCACCCGAGGGCCCCAAGCGCAGGGGCTTCCCTCTGGCCCCTCCCCCGTCGCCGAGCTGTCACACAGCAGCCGCGCGGCCCGCCCCCACGTGGACTAGGCTCGGAGGATCAAAGTCTGTTTGCAGCCCAGCCCCCGCAGGTGTGCTGGAGTATGCGAGGGTCCGCAGCGCTAGAGCCGGGACTCCGCCACGCCCGAGGGGACCGGGCCCGCCCCTCCTCCTCCCCCTCCCCCTCCCGCTGCACGCGGCCCGCGCCCCCAAGACGCCAGCCGCTGCACCCGGCCACTGCCCCCCGGCCCACGCCCGACTACGGGAGAGAATGGCCCCGCCCCCATCTGCTGGCGCCGCAACCCCGCCCCCTTTCCGCCTCTCCTAGGCTCCATCCAATAGCGAGCGTGGCTGGGCGGGACGCCGACGCTGTCGTGAGGGGACTCTGACCAATGAGGAATCGAGCCGGGCTTGATGGGCGGGGCATCAGGGCCTTGTCACGCTCGGGTCCGTGTGAAAACGGGGGTTCCGAGTGCAAAGCAAAGTTTTTTTGTAAACCGTCTGCAAAGGCGGGGGGGCGAAGAAGGCGCCCGAGACCGGGCCGAGTGCAGTGGCCGCCGCCTCTCTAGCTCCTCAGCCATCCGCTCCTCAGTCAAGCGGCCGCGGAGGAGACCAGCAAGGAGAGTCCTCAGATGCTCGAAGCTTTCTCGGCGCGAAGCTGCCAGTTGTCCTCGCCCGCCCCCCTCCTGCTCCTGCTTCTGCTTCTGCTTCAGCTCCGGCTCTTGGTACCCCGGCTCCGGGAGTCCAGCTCCCCGCCGCCGCCGTCGCCCGGGTGTGGGTGTGAGGGCTGCTGGGGCTGAGCCGGGCCTTGGCGCCGGCTCTGAGGACCGACGCCTGAGGAGCTGCGCGGAGCGGCGCCGCCGGCTGGCGGAGGACTCCCACAGGCGCGGGGCTCGGCGGCTTGACCCGGGCTCGGCCCCGTGCGGCCGCGGGGGCACCTCAGCGGTTTCCCGAGCGGCCCGACTCGGGCGCTCCTCGGTGTCGCGGTCGCCGACCCTCCGCGGCCGGCCAGCCCCTCCGCCGCATCAGTCTCCCGGCCGGGCTCGGCGGGCCCCGCAGCCGCAGCCATGGGGTGCTGGGGTCGGAACCGGGGCCGGCTGCTGTGCATGCTGGCGCTGACCTTCATGTTCATGGTGCTGGAGGTGGTGGTGAGCCGGGTGACCTCGTCCCTGGCGATGCTCTCCGACTCCTTCCACATGCTGTCGGACGTGCTGGCGCTGGTGGTGGCGCTGGTGGCCGAGCGCTTCGCCCGGCGGACCCACGCCACCCAGAAGAACACGTTCGGCTGGATCCGGGCCGAGGTGATGGGGGCTCTGGTGAACGCCATCTTCCTGACCGGCCTCTGTTTCGCCATCCTGCTGGAGGCCATCGAGCGCTTCATCGAGCCGCACGAGATGCAGCAGCCGCTGGTGGTCCTCGGGGTCGGCGTGGCCGGGCTGCTGGTCAACGTGCTGGGGCTCTGTCTCTTCCACCATCACAGCGGCTTCAGCCAGGACTCCGGCCACGGCCACTCGCACGGAGGGCACGGCCACGGCCACAGCCTCCCCAAGGGGCCCCGCAGTAAGAGCGGCCGCCCCGGGAGCAGCGACATCAACGTGGTCCCGGGCGAGCAGGGGCCTGACCAGGAGGAGACCAACACTCTTGTGGCCAATACCAGCAACTCCAACGGGCTTAAACTGGACCCCGCAGGTAAGCCGGGAAAGCCGCCGCCGCAGGTGGTTGGGTTTGGGGAGCCTAGAGCCTCGTCTGGCCTTTGGCGGGGTGACCCGCACGCCCCCTGCTGCCCGAGCCGGCCTGCGCCGCGCCGCCCCTGCCCGCTCCCTCCCAGTCTTGCACACGCCCCGCCGCTCCAGGAAATCATAACCCCCTCAGCCGGGCGCAAGGAGTTGGGGACGCGTCTGGCATATTTGTAGGTGGAGACTATGGGTCTGACACTAGGAAAAGGGTCAAGAGGTGACCATCATCCTGCTGCAGTCCACACCCGCACAGGCTGCACCAACTTTGCTGGAGACTTGTCTTGTTATGGTTATAGCAGGATCAGAAATGCTTCCCAAATCAGTTCCTTGGTCCTCTTGGGAAACGGAGAGAATCCCTAATTCGTCTCCAGTTGTTGGGTGTTGGAAACCTTGCTATGCCAAAGTATTTCTTATGCCCATTGAACACGTTTCATATATGCATTCAGAGCATGTAAACCCAGCTTAAAGGTTTCTTTTATGAACAGCAGTGTGTATGCTTCAGCTAATTGATCCCTAATCCTGGAAATCATAAATTTAGGACCTGTCTGGGCATGTTTAACATTTTCCTAGGACTTTTCATAATCGTACTGTACTAAAAGTGATGATAATTTATTCATCTTATGAATAAATTATGAATGCTTTTCATATTTAACATTAAGTGCTCTTGAAGGAAATTTGGAAAATAAGTGTTGAAAGAAGGTAGATAGAAATGACTCAACCAATGTCCTACTACCGAAGCTCAATGGTGCTTAACAATTTGGTCTCATTTCCTTCACTTAGATTTAGTTACTTTGTGTCATTATAAATTATTATGCTACATAATTTTCCTTTTCGAGAGCAGAATGTCAAGTTAGTGAAATTCAAGTTGTATGTTGGAAAAGTTTAATACGTAATTGGTTTTCCTCTCACTCCACTCAGGCAAGGTGTTATTCCAAAGAAAATTAAGTTACTTTGGTGTGTAATTTCTTGATAAGATCAATACTTTTGATTTAAAAGTTAGTAGGGCATGTAGTCATCATTTAGTTCCAACTTTTCTAATAATCTCTGTGATTATTGATTTATATTGTTGATTTGTCAATTTTTAAAGTCCCTCTACCAAGAAACTTTTATATTCATGATAACAGTTTAAAAGTTAAAATTGGTTTTATTCTCAAGCAATTGGCCTCAGTGACAAAGAGTGACTAGAGAGTGCCCGAGTGTCATATCAGGTATTCTGTATTAGCAGACTTATTCCTAGCTGCGTTTAATTTTGGTGTTAGCGTTCAATTTTATGTTTTCCTTTGTATATGCCCAGAAGTATAGCAGAATGTTTGCAGGACTCCACCCCCATAGAAAAGATACACTATTTTGGAGAAGGGGAGGAAGGAGAGTGGTTAGGAGAGTAAAGAAGCAATATCACAATGACTTAATTTAGCCTTGGCCATTATGTCCTGGCTCGTTCCCAGAATGTCAATTTATGTTAAATTGCTCTGAGCACATTTTTTTAATTGTACTTTGTGAAAAAATTTTCACCTTCATCAGCACTTAAAAAGAATTAGATGAGGATGTTTATATAAACACTTAAAGTGTATTTGATGTAAAATTTTTATTTCTTCGTAGACCCAGAAAAACCCATAAGTGGTGATACAGTGGAAGTACAAGTGAATGGAAATCTTATCAGAGAACCCGACCATATGGAACTGGAAGAAGATAGGGCTGGACAACTTAACATGCGTGGAGTTTTTCTGCATGTCCTTGGAGATGCCTTGGGTTCAGTGATTGTAGTAGTAAATGCCTTAGTCTTTTACTTTTCTTGGAAAGGTTGTTCTGAAGGGGATTTTTGTGTGAACCCATGTTTCCCTGACCCCTGCAAAGCATTTGTAAAAATAATTAATAGTACTCATGCATCAGTTTATGAGGCTGGTCCTTGCTGGGTACTATATTTAGATCCAACTCTTTGTATTGTAATGGTTTGTATACTTCTTTACACAACCTATCCATTACTTAAGGAATCTGCTCTTATTCTTCTACAAACTGTTCCTAAACAAATTGATATCAGAAATTTGATAAAAGAACTTCGAAATGTTGAAGGAGTTGAGGAAGTTCATGAATTACATGTTTGGCAACTTGCTGGAAGCAGAATCATTGCCACTGCTCACATAAAATGTGAAGATCCAACATCATACATGCAGGTGGCTAAAACCATTAAAGACGTTTTTCATGATCACGGAATTCACGCTACTACCATTCAGCCTGAATTTGCTAGTGTAGGCTCTAAATCAGGTGTACGCCCATGTGAACTTGCCTGCAGAACTCAGTGTGCTTTGAAGCAATGTTGTGGGACACTGCCACAAGCCCATTCTGGAAAGGATGCGGAAAAGACCCCAACAGTTAGCATTTCTTGTTTAGAACTTAGTAACAATCTAGAGAAGAAGCCCAGGAGGACTAAAGTTGAAAACAGCCCTTCTGTCATGATAGAGATTAAAAACACGCCGGACAAACAACCTGAATCATCTTTGTGAGTCTTGAAAAAGATGTGATATTTGACTTTTGCTTTAAACTGCAAGAGGAAAAAGACTCCACTGAAATTCTAAGTTTGCCAAGTAGTATAATTGAAGTCCTTGTCTGGTCACACAGTTTAATTCTATTTTTGTAAGAACATAATGGGACTGCATAACAGAGTTCTATATTACAACTTTGTGATTATTAGTACAGAGTACAGCTATGCTGTGACTGTTTTGGAAAGCCAGTTTTAACACTATGTTACATTTTTGTTTTAAGTATATAAACCTTATATAACATGACATTTGATTTCTGGATTTCCCATGATAAAAATTAGGGGGATAAATAAAATTGTTACTGGAATTTCTCTGCTTTTCTTTTCCCCCACTGTTACACTTTATTAGAATTTATAGTTGATAGAATTTTAAAATCATCAACAGTTTCCTTTGACATTTTAGGTAATATTGCCCTTTGAGATCATTACATAGTATAATGGCAACATATTTTAAGAGTGACTCATGGCTATTAGTAGGAAATAAGATCAGTTACTATCTTGCATTCTATATTGCTATTAACCACTAAGATAATTAACAAATTGAACTATAGTTTACAGACAATAGGGCAAATGGGGTAGTAACAGCAGGGAAGAAAGTTTACCAAACTAAATATTTAGGTTATTGTATGTTAATATTCAGACTACATTTCTAAATTATTTTGAGAATTTCAGCTTTTTATTCTACCAAAGTTAATCTAAAAGATAGACATGTTCACCAGCATTACTTTCTTTGTAAGATTGGTATAAAAACATTGAGCTGCAAGTTTACTCACAAAATATGTAAGTATTTTTAAAGATGTTGACACCTAATAATTACATGCTAAATGCAAGCTATTAATGTAATCTTTTAAACTGGATGTTTGAAAAAAAATTTCCAGTCATTTCACGATGACCAATTGTGAATGGGTTTAAATGGAGCTTTTCGAGCCCAACCAGCAATGCTTGTGTTTTCTAAGAGCCACTGACTTGAGAGAAAAGAAAACCAGAAGGTTAATGCAGTTTGGATATTAAATTCTTAGAAAGCAAAATTAATAATTAAAATTAATTAAGATTCCGTAAGTCATCCTGTCTTCACATATTCAGTTCTTCCAATAGTGGCTTATTTTGCAAGATGCCACAATATCTACACAGAAAATTGTTTGTAGCTATTTCATTATTGCTATAGATTTCAAATCAAACACAATTAGAGTGTTTAAGTTCTATTTTTCTTGATAGAGGCGTATGCCTTGTGATGAAATTTTTGTCCTTGAAAGGATGAATATTAGTGTCAGTTATGTATAAATCTATTTTTCTAGAAACAAGGTATTCTGACTAATTTTTATAGCTGACTACTTTTGGGATGGCTACGTTTTGGGATTTAAAATAGTTCATTGTTTAATGGGTTGTAACAGGAAAGTGTTAGGATTTGACAGTTACTTTTTAAAGGGATGATCTTTTGTGGTGTGTGTTTTTCCTAGTATAAGCCTATTGCTGGCAATGGGCCTATTTAAGAACAGCTGATTTTTTTCCAATGAAAATATGGTAATTTTAGGAACACAGTTTGTAAGTTCACATTTACTCTAAGGGGCCAAAACCATAATCTGCCAGTTTGCAATACATCTTGATCTTTTAATACTCTTATCTGATATTGTAATTCAGTTTCTAAACTGAGAGTTACCATAAATTTTGCAAAAACTTTTTTTTTAACATGAAATTGAGGGATCTCATCTGGGTGAACAAGAGAGAAAGCTATGAATTGTACTGTATTATGTACATTCCTGATTACGGAACATTTGATTCAGATAACTGATAAAATATATTACATTCAATGAGGTTTTCTTTACAAATGCTGTACTTGAGGTCTATGTCTTAAAGATGGTATAACACTTAAGTACAAAACATCAACTGGATGAGGATTTTTAAAAATGGTGTGTAAGCATGGGACAAGGGCTATGTTTGTTTTTCAAAAGTGCTTTGAAGATAACAGCCTTTAGGTTTTAGTTATTTCACTTCATAATTTTTAAGTAGCTTATATATAACGGTGGTACCATAGGATTTTCTTTTTTCAAATGACTGTCTGCAAAATCAGTGGGCACTGACTCACCTTTTGAGTTTTAGCAGAGAATTATTTATTTCTTTACAATGCACTTTCTAACCCATTTTAGCTATATTAGCATTATCTTTAAAAAAAAAAAAAAAAACATGCTTTTGTATTTAAATATTGTAGGATTTAAGTGTCTTTCCCAAAATAGCTTATTCCTTTCTGAAAGAAAATAAGGGAAATACTCTGAATTATTAGGAGACTTAAACCCAATATTTAAATATGCTATTTTATAACACTGCATCAGTTTTAGGAGTTGCATCTCTCCTGCTGGCTCTTTTATATTTGAGCAAGATCAGTGTAGAATATGTGTTTAGAAACTTATCTGTTGTCTCAGTTTAGTAAAGAGGTGCTGCATGTGCCTGAATTAAAACCAAGAAATTTTTCCAAGCCAAATGCAGCCTTAGTGATGAGAGATTTAATTCTCCATTGTCACCTTTTAGCTTTTATGATTGCTTAGTTTTTTTTTGAAGGATATCTGCATTGTAAAACTATAGGCCAGAATCTAAAAAACAGAATCCTCAAAAACTTTGCTGTATGTGTTTTAATATTTTAGAAAACAGTATGTTGAATAACTAAGGTATGTAATTTGAATAGGAAAAATTTCCATCAAGTACACCTTGGAAAATCACAGTAGGTAGAAGGCGTTAACATGTTTGTGTCTTATTAATATCCTTAGTTAAATTTGAATTTTTGACAGTTTTGAGGAAAAAGACCTATGGAACCTAATGTGAAGTATTTTGTATGTTAACTGGTGTTGAGTTGAAGATTTTTACTGTGTATAAGCAGATAACATTTTAATGATAAAAATGTCATTAACCTGCTGTCTTAAGATGTTCACACAAATATGGAGAGTAATTCTACAATATAAAAATATTTATTTTAATACTGAGTTTCAGTTAAGTCATAAACAGTGTTAAAACTCTTGGGAAGGTGTAGGGATTTTTTGTTGTTTTTTAAAATTGAAACTGTGTCATACAGTGTTTCATGTCTCTGAAATTGGGATTATAATAGCACTATTTTGATGTAGCTCTACCGATATGTGGTAATGCTATTTTGTTCTTACTGACAAGCTCTGGAATATTTAGCAGTCATTTTCACTGGCACAAGAGCCTTTTGTATGTTATTCAATTTAAACTTTTAAACCAAAAATTTTATCGACCAGTGTCTTTGGCAAAAAGATGCTGGAGGGAATGTAACATACAATTAATATGTGGTTATATATATATATATATATATAAAAGACACAAATTGCCATCTTATGGTTCTGCCTTGAAACAGCACAATGAAGTGTATCAGTATATTCTGTGATTACGAAACTTCCATGTTGTGTTTGTTGTTTTGTGTCTGCTGTTGCCTGTCCTTTGGGCCAGATGTGGCGCAGTTAAATGCAGTTATCATCTCATTAAATACAGATGCAGATAAAATATCTTTAGTGCTGCAACATTTTACCTAACTTTTCGTATGTTTTAATGACTGTGTGTTATTTTCCAAAGCTGTTCCTACCTCACCATGAGGCTTTATGGATTGTTATGTATTATAAATGTTCTATATGAGACAGACTACTGTGTTTCTTCTCATTTATTGAAAGTTAAGTAGAAAAATAAACTAATTTTACTATCTGTTTCATTTGTGCATATGGCCTCCCCTCCTATACTAGGCTTAGTTACATAGAGAGTTGGATTTCAGATATTGAAAGAAATTGCAGTTTAACACAAATGTTGCAAGTGTACAGAGTGACTAGGTTACAAGACTAGTGTGGAAGAAAATGTGGGCAAAAATTGCAATACAAATTGAAAGGGTAACACAAAGGCTCACTGATATGAAATACTCAGTGGTTTTGACTTATTATAAGCATTAAGCTTATAGATGATACAGTTGTGGTTAACCTGCTGCTTTTCGCACTTGCTATTGTTTATTTATAAGCATAGTTACTAATAAGGATTAAATATTTCACACCTGTAAATCATCTAAAATTCTTAACCCAATAATAGTACATTATTGTGGTTCTGTGAGCCGCAGGACTATCACAAATGTAATCTCATAAGATTTGTTAAAGAACTTGTATTTTGAGCTGTGAGACAACAGTTGAAAAAAATCAATTGGCAATAAATGGCAGTAGATAAAGGAACTGATCTATATGCAGTAGATATTCCAAAGAGGAGGCTAAAAAAAAAATGTAAAGGATTATGTAGGTTAAAGTGGAAAGGAATAGGGTTTGAGAGGCAAGGGAGCAGGAATAGTGGTACAAAGAGTTGGGGACCTGGGTGAGGTGGCTCATGCCTATAATCCCAGCACATTGGAAGGCTGAGGTGGGCCAGATCCACTTGAGCTCAGGAGCTCGAGATCAGCCTGGGCAACATGGTGAAACCAGGTCCCTACAAAAACAAAAAAAATACAAAAATTGGCCAGTGCCAGACAGTGGCTTACGCCTGTAATCCCAGCACTTTGGGAGGCTGAGGCAGGAGGATCACTTGAGGTCAGGAGTTTGAGAACAGTCTGCCCAACATGGGGAAACCCTGTCATTACTAAAAATACAAAAATTAGCCAGGTTTGGTGATGCACACCTGTAGTCCCAGCTAATCAGGAGGCTGAGATGAGAGGATCACTAGAGGGGGATGGAGTTTGCAGTGAATCGAGATAGCACCACTGCACTCCAGACTGGGTGACAGCTCGACCCAGTCTCAAAAAAAAAAAAAAAAAAAAAAAAAAAAAAAAAAAGTTAAGGGGTTGAGAGGTATAAGGAGATTGTAAAGGTTAAAAGCGCCATGACAACCAGTTTAAATTTGGTTTCATAGGAAAAGAGGAGACTCAATAATTTCACTATCAGTAATTTCTGAGTAGATAAGTGAGAAAGTGGGAAAGGTAAATGGGTAAATGTAGGCAGAGTGAGACAGGAAGACAGTTTTCCAGATAATGCTAAAAGTCAAATGCACATGTCACATGTACATGAACTACATTTCAATTTATTCCACACATTCTTTTTATATTTTAACATTTCTGAAATCAGAATGCATAGCTACAATCAATGGTATCTTCCAATTGCTATTGGCTAACCTTTTTTCTTATCTCAATGTGTCTATTCAGGGTTCAGAAAAGAGTTATCTTCCTAGGCAATATGGTCTTTCAAAAGGCTATCTGACAAGAGTCCCTGAAATTTCATGTACTATGCATTGCACATTTAGATGAAAGCTGTTCCTTTTGAATTGGATAAAAATAATTTTTAAAAAAAGTCAAGTAACATTGCTTTTAAATAAATTTCATAGACATTTCTCAGCCTTCAGAATTGACCATCATTTTAACCCCCCACTAGTCTATTCAGCTTTTTTTGTTGTTAGAGAGTCTTGCTCTGTCGACCAGGCGGGAGTGCGGTGGCGCCATCTTGGCTCACTGCAACCTCTGCCTTCCAGGTTCAAGGAATTCTCATGCTTCAGCCTCCCAAGTAGCTGGGACTACAGGTTTGGGCCACGATGCCCAACTAATTTTTTGTATTTTTAGTAGAGACAGGGTTTCATCATGGCCAGGCTGGTCTCGAACTCCTGACCTCAAGCGATTCACCTGTCTTGGCCTCCCAAAGTGCTAGTATTACAGGCATGAGCCACCACACCTAGCTCAGCCATTTTTCTTTTAAAGCAAGTAATCTGTAGCACTTTGTTCTTATTTAAAAGCCAGTTTCACTTCTAGACTATAAACTCTATTCAGTCAAGACTATGTCTTTCCATCTTTATTTTCTAAGGATATAGCACAGGGACCAGCACATTGTAGGTATTCAGAGGTGTCTGGAATATTGAGGAATTGCGGGAATGGAAAAAAATATACAGTAGTTATATACTATTAATAGATAAGATATACTGAGTACTTTTTTTTTTGACACAGGGTCTGTCACCCAGGTTGAAGTGCAGTGATAGGATCTTGGCTTACTGCATCCTCTGCCTCCTGAGTTCAAGTGATCCTCCCACCTAAGCCTACTGAATAGCTGGGACTACAGGCGGCTGCCACCACACCTGGCTAATTTTTGTATTTTTTGTAGAGATGCGGTTTCGCAAATATACTGGGGACTTCTGATCACTTATTACTGAGCACTTATTACATATCAGGCACATATGTTTTCATTTATCCTTACAAACCATTAGATGTATTCCTTTATTTTACAGACAAACAGATATTAAAGCACCTTACCCCAAGCCATATAGTTAGTGATGGAACCGGAACTGGAACTCAGCAAAAGATCTAGGCCTCTGCAAGTCGCTTGCTTTCCACTACTTTGGACTTTTCTTTTTTCTTTATTTCTTTTTTTTTTACTGCAGCCTCGAACTCCTAGGCTCAAGTGATCCTCCCACCTCAGCCATCTGAGTAGCTGAGACTACAGGTACATACCACCACACCCAGCTAGTTTAGTTTTTTTTTAGAGACTGAGTTTTGCTATGTTGCCCAGACTGGTCTTGAACTCCTGGCCTCAAATGATCCTCCTGCCTTGGCCTTTTCAACAACCCACTTAAGTAAAATCAGAATAAAGAGTTCTTTCTCCAGGTGTGATGGCACGTGTCTGTAATCCCAGCTACTCAGGAGGCTGAGGCAGCAGAATTGCTTCAACCTGGGAGGTGGAGGTTACAGGGAGCCGAGATTGCACCATTGCACTCCAGCCGGGGCGACAGAATGAGACTCCGTCTCAAAAAAAAAAAGAGTTCTTTCTAATTTTCATCCAAAGAGCAATAGATGAAGCATAGGCACAGAGTACTAGCAAAGCAGGGGCCCCAAAAGAAATAAGAAAAATAATTTTTATACAAAAACTAAAGAACAGGGGTCTGGGAGAAAAAAAAAATTAGCCAGGCATGGTGGTCGGCACCTGTAATTTCAGCTACTTGGGAGGCTGAGGCAGGAGGATTGCTTGACCTGGGAGGTGGAGATTGCAGTGAGCCAAGATTGCACCACTGCACTCCAGCCTGGGTGACAGAGCAAGACTTCATCTAATAAATAAATAAGTAAATAAATAAAATAAATTTTAAAGCATTTAATAATTATTAAAAAACAAAATAGAATTCAGATTTTTTTTTTTTTTTTTGGATGTCACTCTGTCAACCAGGCCGGTGTGCAGTGGTATGATCTCGGCTCACTGCAACCTCTGCCTCCTGGGTTCAAGTGATTCTTCTGCCTCGGCTTCCTGAGTAGCTGGGATTATAGGCATGTGCCACCACGCCCAGTTAATTTTTGTATTTTTAGTAAAGACAGAGTTTCACCATGCTGGCCAGGCTGGTCTCAAACTCCTGACCTCATGATCCTCCTACCTCAGCCTCCCAAAGTGCTGGGATTACAGGTAGGAGTCACTGCGCCCGGGCTTCTATTAAAATACAAATTTAAATGTTTGCACAGAACTTTCTGACCTAAATTAGACTTTCCTAATTTATAGTTTAGTACCGTTTATTTTTAATTACATATGGCAGAGAAATTACAATTTTTTAAAAAGAATTTAGGGCCTCTCTTGATTTTAATCCAGCCTTGTGGAAAAGTACAATTCTTTACAAACTGGTGGTGTTTTCACCTAATATTGTCTGGCTGGCTTAAATATCCTTAGGGTTACCCTGAAAACAGTGAGTCTTTGGGGGCATGAGGAGCAGAGGTGATTGAGGTAAATGTGGATGAGGAGACAAAGAGGGAACATCCACTTTTGAACAGGGATGCTATTAGCATTTGTGTAAGACCAGTCATCAGTGCAAAAATGTCTCATGCATTGAGTTTAGCAACTCTGGCTTACTTCCATAGGAATGCCTGTAGCTATCGTTTTTCCCTCCCCATTATCAAGACACCCCAACTGTTTCAAATGTCTCCTAGGGAGGCAGTATTGCCCTGCTAGAAACCATAGATGGCTAACCCAGAGGGTCCTCTTTCAGTCTCTTTCACAGGAACCAGACACTACATCTAGTCCTCTCCTTTTACATAGTTCTTTGTGTTTTGTATGAACGTCAATTTCATCTTAAGTCCAGGAACTGTGATTCCATGCCTTGATAGTCACATTGAAAGTCTGAAGTTTTGACTTCTGAGGTTCATAACCTTTAATACAAGGATTACTATAGCACAAGGTAGCCAGGAGCTCCTCTATCAGTTAAGAAGATTGTTCTGCCCAAGAAAACAGTGTAGATATGGCCTTCTGAATTGGCCATGGAAACCCTAGTTTAGCCCTATTGAAATACAAAGTAAAAATGGATTTCTGGCATTATAAAAGAGGTTCAAAACCAGGGCCTTCTATCAAAATACAAATTTAAATATTTGCATCAAAATTTAGGGCCAGTCGAAGTGGCTCAAGCCTATAATCCCAGCACTTTGGGAAGCCAAGGCAGGTGGATCACTTGAGCCCTGGAGTCTGAGACCGGCCTGGGCTCTTTCTTCTCTTTACCCTTTCTTTTTTTGTCCACTTAGAGTCTCCCAAGGGACGCAGCTCTGCTGATGCCTGTGTTTATTCCATAGACTCGTTTTGGACTTATGACCTCCAAAACTTTAGTTTTTACTTATTTATTTATTTATTTATTTTTTGAGCCAGAGTCTCACTCTGAGGCCCAGGCTGGGGTGCAGTGGCACTATCTCAGCTCACTGCAACCACTGCCTCCTGGGTTCAAGCGATTCTCCTGCC